CTGTCCTTTAAGAGCTTTTCCAACTCGTTGAACTTTATGTATACCGATGTTGAGTGGGTCCAAATCCAATTTATCCTTAAAAAGAGCCAGCACTTTCTCTTCTGAGTCTGACCCCTTTTCATTCTCAGCTTCAGGAATTCCATCAATAATCACATTCTGACGTCTGGTCTGGGCATCTAGAAAGTCCGTTTTCCCATCTATCACCAACATCGATTCCGCCAGTTTATGTATATCGTCTTCGTTTGATTTACAATTAGATGACAAACTTACACTTGACGCTTTTAAATCGTCCACCTCCTTTTGTGTAAATTGGAGGCTAACTTTCAACTCCTGCAGCTCTTTCAAAATAGCGTCCATTCTGACGCTCGTTGTTTCCATAAAGGCGTACATACAAACTGTAAAGTTGCTTTCTTGTTGTTGCAACAGTTCTTTATAGAAGGCTTTCTGCTGCTCCATCAATTCACGCACCTGTTCATGTGTGATGTACTGCCCAGAGTCTTTCTCTTTATCCTTACGACCAGCCATATTTTCCCACAGGCAACAAACACAATGTCCTGGCTATTTTGCTGGCAGACTGTCACTGGTATTTGTAGTTACTAAAGCATAATAAGCACAACACTTACTATGGGCTTAACATTACCTCAGTAATCGTAGTTTTACTGTGGTATCTGTAGTTACTAAAGCATAATAACCACAACACTTACTATGGGCTTAACGTTACCTCAGTAATCGTAGTTTTACTGTGGTATCTGTAGTTACTAAAGCATAATAACCACAACACTTACTATGGGCTTAACGTTACCTCAGTAATCGTAGTTTTACTGTGGTATCTGTAGTTACTAAAGCATAATAACCACAACACTTACAATGGGCTTAACGTTACCTCAGTAATCATAGTTTTACTGTGGTATCTGTAGTTACTAAAGCATAATAACCACAACACATACTATGGGCTTAACGTTACCTCAGTAATAGTAGTTTTACTGTGGTATCTGTAGTTACTAAAGCATAATAACCACAACACATACTATGGGCTTAACGTTACCTCAGTAATAGTAGTTTTACTGTGGTATTTGTAGTTACTAAACCATAATAACCACAACACTTACTATGGGCTTAACGTTACCACAGTAATCATAGTTTTACTGTGGTATTTGTAGTTACTAAAGCATAATAACCACAACACTTACAATGGGCTTAACGTTACCTCAGTAATCATAGTTTTACTGTGGTATTTGTAGTTACTAAACCATAATAACCACAACACTTACTATGGGCTTAACGTTACCTCAGTAATAGTAGTTTTACTGTGGTATCTGTAGTTACTAAAGCATAATAACCACAACACTTACAATGGGCTTAACGTTACCTCAGTAATAGTAGTTTTACTGTGGTATTTGTAGTTACTAAAGCATAATAACCACAACACTTACAATGGGCTTAACGTTACCTCAGTAATAGTAGTTTTACTGTGGTATCTGTAGTTAATAAAGCATAACCACCACAACACTTACTATGGGCTTAACGTTACCTCAGTAATAGTAGTTTTACTGTGGTATTTGTAGTTACTAAAGCATAATAACCACAACACTTACTATGGGCTTAACGTTACCTCAGTAATAGTAGTTTTACTGTGGTATCTGTAGTTAATAAAGCATAACCACCACAACACTTACTATGGGCTTAACGCTACCTCAGTAATTGTACTTTTACTGTGGTATTTGTAGTTACTAAAGCATAATAACCACAACACTTACTATGGGCTTAACGTTACCACATGGAAATTTAGCTTTTCCTTGCAATCACAACTATATTAGGATCACTACAACCTACTTCAACTGAAATTGCTGCCGTATACAAATCTTCATTTCTCAAATAAATATGATCTATACAAGATAACGTGGACTTGCCCTTATTATTAATGCTTATTCTCGTTGGTTGCCTTACCGTCTGTTTCAATCCACATGCATCTATTATATTTACCATTTGATTATTTAAAAAGCACTCATGTACTAACCAATTAATATTAAGATCGCCTAAAAAAACAACTTCTATATTCAATTCACATACCTTATTCAGCATCTCACCCATGTCTTCCAAATATTTATGGTTTGAACCTGGTGGCCTATAACAACATCCTAATAAAATTGGCTTGATATGAGGTAAATTAACTTGCAGCCATAGAACCTTCACTTCATTACACATGATATCATTCCTTACTTTTACAGAAATATGATTCTGCACATAAAAGGCAACACCTCCACCGTACTTATTTCTATCTCTTCTATATAATTTATATCCTCTTATAGACACAGCATTATCATCAAATGTCTCATCCAAATGAGTTTCAGATATAGCAACAATAATTGTGTTTGATAGCAACAAATCAGCAACTTCATGTACATTGTTCCTCAAACTACAAATATTCAAATGAGCGAACTTTAAATATTTTTTTGCCAATAAAATGGCAATAGACATACAATATACAGCACATCACATCGTACCTTGATCCTTGTCACATCCTCACATGTTCTCAATTTGCTTGCCTCTTATGAACAATGAGTTTATCATACCTTAAGAAAGCAATGTCCCCTCTTTCTCTTGCAGCTTTCATTTTTGGAATTAGTTCCTTTCTCCTCTTTCGAACCGATTCGGGATAATCCTCGTTTATAAAAAAATATTCAAACCCTTCAGTTTTCTCGCATTGACCATCACTCGATCTCTGTCCTTGATTCTTAAAAACGACACCATTGTTGGGCGAGGCCGACTCCGGATTTCATCCTGTCCTTTAAGAGCTTTTCCAACTCGTTGAACTTTATGTATACCGATGTTGAGTGGGTCCAAATCCAATTTATCCTTAAAAAGAGCCAGCACTTTCTCTTCTGAGTCTGACCCCTTTTCATTCTCAGCTTCAGGAATTCCATCAATAATCACATTCTGACGTCTGGTCTGGGCATCTAGAAAGTCCGTTTTCCCATCTATCACCAACATCGATTCCGCCAGTTTATGTATATCGTCTTCGTTTGATTTACAATTAGATGACAAACTTACACTTGACGCTTTTAAATCGTCCACCTCCTTTTGTGTAAATTGGAGGCTAACTTTCAACTCCTGCAGCTCTTTCAAAATAGCGTCCATTCTGACGCTCGTTGTTTCCATAAAGGCGTACATACAAACTGTAAAGTTGCTTTCTTGTTGTTGCAACAGTTCTTTATAGAAGGCTTTCTGCTGCTCCATCAATTCACGCACCTGTTCATGTGTGATGTACTGCCCAGAGTCTTTCTCTTTATCCTTACGACCAGCCATATTTTCCCACAGGCAACAAACACAATGTCCTGGCTATTTTGCTGGCAGACTGTCACTGGTATTTGTAGTTACTAAAGCATAATAAGCACAACACTTACTATGGGCTTAACATTACCTCAGTAATCGTAGTTTTACTGTGGTATCTGTAGTTACTAAAGCATAATAACCACAACACTTACTATGGGCTTAACGTTACCTCAGTAATCGTAGTTTTACTGTGGTATCTGTAGTTACTAAAGCATAATAACCACAACACTTACTATGGGCTTAACGTTACCTCAGTAATCGTAATTTTACTGTGGTATTTGTAGTTACTAAAGCATAATAACCACAACACTTACTATGGGCTTAACGTTACCTCAGTAATCGTAGTTTTACTGTGGTATTTGTAGTTACTAAAGCACAATAACCACAGCATTTACCATGGTTTTACCACAGTAACTGTGTTTTTACTCTATACTATTTGTAAAGCACAGTAACCACAATGCTTGCCACGCCTTTAATACCTTTTTGTGAAGTCATTTTAATTCAATATTTTTTTTCTGTCTTGCAGTTACATCAGATCACATACTCCAGCAGCTCTTTGAAGAAGCCATCTCTTGTAAAAGTTTCTCTCTCTGCTAGAATTAACAGGGAACTTCAACTCGACGCTCCCAATGCTGATCTTGAAGAAGCTGTCAAGGAGGCTGAAACCAAAGGAAGGCCTGTCATGGGATTTGAATCTGACCATCTTGTGCGTTTATGGAGAAGACCAAAAGCTGCAAAGGCAAACACTTCCAATGGTACATCTGTGTCGGTCTGAGCACTTTGACTGAACTTTACTGCAGACATTTTGCACTGCAATTGATGTTTCTTAAACTTTGGTTTACACACCCCACGGCTCCCTCAGGAAGAACCCCCAGAAAAGTCTCATGCTGAAGTAGTAATAATTCATACAATTTATCAAGTCTGCAAATTCATATGATACTGCACAAGCATACTCGTACAAAATTCTACGACTTTTACTCCTACTGCTGTCATTGGCCATTGCCTCAACTACCAAGCAGATTGTGCCCATTGTAAGAGTGTTTATATCATAGGAAGAAACCCCAGAAAAGTCTCATGTTGAAGTAGTAATAATTCATACAATTTGCCAAGTCTGCAAATTGATATGATACTGCACAAGCATACTCGTACAAAATTCTATGACTTTTACTCCTACTGCTGTCATTGGCCATTGCCTCAACTGCCAAGCAGATTGTGGCCATTGTAAGAGTGTTTATATCATACAGTTTATATTAAGTCCATTGTATTCTTTATTAATCTTTACAAATTGGTGCCGTCTCTTCCTGTTCCAACAGTACGTGATAACTGTCCACACCTCATAGTCTGCCTTTCTTTCCATGTTGATTTTTATTGAACGCATCTGTCTAAGAAGCAAGAGTCTGGAAATGCTAGTTTAACTTGTCACGTGACAAATCAGATCTTCAATTAATTTGGCCAAATCAGATCACTTAAAGCTGTTCACACCAAGAACAAGAACTATAATGAGAACTATTTTAGCATCCACACCAACAGACGATACTGTTCTGTTTATTATAAGCATGCGCTGTGGTTATGTTGTCTGCCATAAAATGCTCAAGCTCTTTAAAGTCTGGTGGATTCTGATTGGCTGTCAATGTTTTTATTGTTCATCAGCTGGAAAAAAATAATTGTTCTGAAAGAGATTCCAACGATATTGTTCCTCTGTGTCATAAAATGTTAACTCTGAAATGTTCCTTTCATTCTGTTAAAATTACACACAAAATTCTGCCTTTCTCTGCCTATTTCTCTTCATCTTATTCCTTTACTCCCTCACTCACTTACACATTCTTTTATGCTCTGTTGTAAGGTAGAAACTGAGAGTTTGCATGATGGCCTTTTCTCAGACTCTGAATCTGGTGTATACAGATGAACTCAAGGAGCCTGCGAGAGCCAGGGAACTTGAGCTTGAAGTATATAATTATAACTGCTTCATTTATATGTTTAAACAACAATAATAATTAAACATGGGGTCAATATATATTTTCTTGTTTTACAGCTGAAGACCAAAAACACAAAGAAAATCAGTCACAGCAAGCAAGTCAAACCAGTCTTGATGAATGAGGAATGAACGTGGTCTTCTTGTGCACAAACAGAAAAGACTAGAGAGCTGAAAAGTTGCACATTTCCATTGGTATGTCTGTATTCAATGCAGTTATGTGTGGTACAGCATTGATGTTGATCTCTCAAAAGACTCTTCAAGTCAAATCATTTTTCACATATATTTTATAGCTCCTAGAATGAGCAAATCAGCTGTGCATCATCTCTGGGATTTGGGCAGAAAATGACTGAATATGGTGAGTACTGACACCTGCACCTGTATTCACCAACACCATTTCTCTGGAGTTAATGTTGACTTATTGTTTTGTCTGTTTGTTTGAAGGAAGATGAAGCCAGTTGATGAAGATATCAATTCAATGGCCACCAAGTACTGCACTGCTGCCTGAACCCATCAGGTATCTGCTGTGAAGACTGCATTCACAAACAGCTCTACTGTGACAGCGCAGATGTTACGGCCCATAAAAGTAAATTTCACAACTGAACAGCTGCAAGATAGTTGTGGAGGGATTATTTTGGCCCATACCTCCAACAAGAATCAATGGCAAGTCCAGAGCAACAATTAGAAATAAAAATACTATATATTGTTTACTGATTTACCACACCCTAAATACATGTTTTGTCTCTCCAGGACATCTACACCACCCGAGCCATGGACTGCTCTCACCGTTACCATCAGGCAGGTGTTATCGCAGAACCTGCACCAGCAGACAGCGAGACAAGTTCTTTCCACAGGCGATCAGACTGAACTGAACTCGTACCAGTAACACCACACAGCACACCCCACCAACCTCATATGCACTGCACTCTATCAGTTACAGTGACTGGACTCCCTATTATTCTGCACCCTGACATTCTGTTTGCACTAATTCATACCGTGCTGCACTGCAAAGGTATATGTGTACTGTGATTATTATTGTTTTCATTTCATGAGCTGTATAGCATAATATTTACCATATATTGTTCTCTACCTGTATTGAGTCCCTATGTGTTGCATATATATTCAGTATTTGTATTTCATATTTATTCATTCATTTGTCATCCATACTGTCATGCTGCAGTTTGCACCCAAGACTTTCACCACCTGTACACTTGCGTTCATGGTATTGTGACAATAAAGTGATTTGATTTGAATTGGTCATGTCTTTTGTTCATCAGTTGTGCTGTAGGGTGCTGCATAACAACTGCAAATTTTGTATGACATGGCAGAAGATTATGATAGGGACAGAGGAAGAAAACCAGGAGAGCTCTGATGATAAGGAAACTGGACGTGATTCTTTGGTGTTCACGACATTTCACCATGCATGCATTTGGGTGGCTTCATCTTATTAAAATAACATGGTTTTAACATAACCCATTTTTTACTTCTCTTGAATATCATTTGTCTTAATACACTACTTTAGCTGTCTTTATGCTGTATCCTCCAGTAAAGTATTGCACATGGTGTTGGATAATAAAGTATGGTGAATATTCTGTATTAGGGATAATGTTTGGTAAATTCACCATTTAATTTAGTAAACAATACACATAATTCCCATGAGTGTTTTAATTAAGATATGAACATTTGGTCATATTAATGACATTCAGTTAGATGAAGGGCAGGCTGAAAGCTGCATTAGAAGATACTGCATGGACTATATTGCTGCAGGCACTTCATGCACAACTGGGTGATGCACCAGGGAAAGATCAACATGAATCCTGTACTGTACTATTAGTAAGATGAGCATGAACATTACTGATGTTTAGCACCTGAGGAGGACAAAGATGAGGAACATTTGACACAGAGACACAAATTAGGTCTTTTATATTATGATTCTTTGCATTGCATGAATTGTATGGCTTTTGCACCATAAACCACACACTGTCTGTACCTTGTCTTACTGAATGACACATTGACATTGTGTGATAGTACAATGAAGTGTCAGTATGTACTGGTTGTTTAAACTGGTGTCTTTGTTTACTGTCAACACTGTATTCTTGCTCCTGATCTAATTAAATAAATGGTGCCCATTCCAAATGGGCACTGATGTAGATATGTTTGTGGGTCTACTCTTATTCTAAGATAACCATGATTTGCAACTTACATATTGACAAGTTGTTGAAAAGACAATCTTAAAAATGTGACTCTGCACAGTTTGTTGTCCATGATGAGAATAGATATGTGTATGTTTACTGCCCTTCCATCCCCAGGGGCCCAGTAGAGTTCCCTGGAAGAGCAAAAAAAATTTAACATTTCAAATGGCTGTAAATCAAAGTCTGATTATAGTTTTAAAGAGAAATTTGGAAGGACAGCTATGTTAACGAAATAATGTTGGACAGAGTTTTCAAACATATATGGAAAGGTGGTATAAAGGTGTTTAAAAAAAGTGCTCTTAGTAAAATACCAAATTTCAGCCTGCCTCTTAAATATGTCATAAATGTTTGCACAATGAACATGTTTAGATGACCCTTTGTTCAAAAAAGATTGTATTTTCCCTTATTTTATTATTAAACATTTTAAACTACATTACCCATAAGCCTCTGCCATTCTATCGCTAGAACGCGAAAAAAGTGGCGCTGGTATTTGTAGTTTAATGAAGTTATGCTTAGGGTTAGGGTTACGATCTCGGTAAAGAGGTAATTTCTCACAACATAGCCACACAGCATTGTCAACTGAAGGTATTACTGACGTAATAATAACAGCAAAATGGACTTTGCAACATTAAGCGGTTTTTAATTTGGGTTAAAAGATAGTCCAATCACAGCGAGTTCTGCGAGTGCCAAGGGAACTTCAAAGCCAATGGCAACCTAGTTGAGCAGAGGCCTCACACTTACTTGTCCATATGTGGTCATTTATGACAGGATCTTCCAGGTTCTTGTGGTGAATGGACAGAATCTGTTAAAGATTTATTTGTCCCCAGTTACTATAAACCTGCAACAGATTGCATCGTGGGGTTAACCTGATGCAGCAATAGATTTGTTGATTACAATGATTTTTTTTTCAACAAGGGCATAATGGTTCCCATTGTATAGGCTACATTGTTTACACTAATATTAATTAATGTACAATATTTAAACTCAAAAGTTTGCATATACTGTGTAAAAAATAAATAATAAAAGTCAAAATGTTTCATTTGCTTGTAAATTATTGCTTGTGACTAAATGCAAGACAAATTAATGGTTAATAATTATAATTTTATAATGATAAAAGTCAACCATTTTGAGCAAGAATATATATATATATATATAGTGATAGTGACAGGAGTGCTTATAGTAGAGATGGGAGTGATGACTGTAGAGGAGAAATGAATACAAGTAGACATGCTAAGACTGGAAGTTGGCAGTAAAGGACTGAGAGCAGATGTGCCACAGAGAGAGAGAGATGTGGAAGCTTTTGGACGGGCTGATATTGTGGAGCGCTGATGGAGAAGGACTAAGTAATCTGTGAGAAATCTTGCAAGAAGGAACAAAGAGAATTTATCACATGATGAACAACAAAAACACTGACAACAACAAATGGCAGATAACAACATACTGAAACTGCAGCGTGTATAACAGCAAACAGAACAGTATTGTCTGTTGGTGTGGATGCTAAAATACTTCTCATTATAGTTATTGCTCTTGGTGTGAACAGCTTTAAGTGATCTGATTTGGCCAAATTAATTGAAGATCTGATTTGTAGCATGTGACAAGTTAAGCTAGCATTTCCAGACTCTTGCTTCTTAGACAGATGCGTTCAATAAAAATCAACATGGAAAGAAAGGCAGACTGTGAGGTGTGGACAGATATCATGTACTGTTAGAACGGGAAGAGACGGCACCAATTTGTAAAGATTAATAAAAAATACAATGGACTTAATATAAACTTTATGATATAAACACTCTTACAATGGGCACAATCTGCTTGGTAGTTGAGGCAATGGCCAATGACAGCAGTAGGAGTAAAAGTCGTAGAATTTTGTACGAGTATGCTTGTGCAGTATCATATGAATTTGCAGACTTGATAAATTGTATGAATTATTACTACTTCAGCATGAGACTTTTCTGGGGGTTCTTCCTGAGGGAGCCGTGGGGTGTGTAAACCAAAGTTTAAGAAACATCAATTGCAGTGCAAAATGTCTCTGCAGTAAAGTTCAGTCAAAGTGCTCAGACCGACACAGACGTACCATTGGAAGTGTTTGCCTTTGCAGCTTTTGGTCTTTACTGAGGTAACATTAAGCCCATAGTAAATGTTGTGGTTATTATGCTTTATTAATACCACAGTAAAACTATGATTACTGAGGTAACATTAAGCCCATAGTAAGTGCTGTAGTTATTATGCTTTAGTAACTACAAATACCACAGTAAAACTACGATTACTGAGGTAACGTTAAGCCCATAGTAAGTGTTGTGGTTATTATGCTTTAGTAACTACAAATACCACAGTAAAACTACGATTACTGAGGTAACGTTAAGCCCATAGTAAGTGTTGTGGTTATTATGCTTTAGTAACTACAAATACCACAGTAAAACTACGATTACTGAGGTAACGTTAAGCCCATAGTAAATGTTGTGGTTATTATGCTTTAGTAACTACAGATACCACAGTAAAACTACGATTACTGAGGTAACCATGATCTCATTACAAAAAAAGATTGTTGCCCTTACCTGTTTGAAGGTGTACGCGCATCAGGTGAACTGGATGAACTGAGCCTTGCTGGTTAGGCTACTATGGTAGGCTACTATGAAGATGACGCGTGGCATTTGGACGCATCTGCTCTCCACCGAAGTTAATGTGAAGGATTGGCGTATC